ATTTTTTTTTAAATGAGACACACACACATATATAAGAAGTTATATTCACTAGTAACCCAGGATATAAAGTATACAAGTAATGACAGCTCTGGCTTGCCATGTTCTGGCTCGTAGCTTGAGACCTTGGCTGGCAGTTACATGCCGAGTTCCACATGCAGAGCCTAAGTTCTCACTGGTTTATCTGACTGCAAGAAGGCATCACATTTACAAGCAGCATGTCAGACACAAAACTGCCAAGGCTAATTCAGTTGCAAGCACACATGATACATGTACGGGTAGACACTTTGATACGGCAAATGTATCCTTGTATATAGTAAGGGCACCATGTATGTCATTTTATAAAACTTTGACAGGGCTGATCTTTTGTTGGAATTTGATCAAGGTTGATTTTCTAAACTGAAAGTTGCAATTTTTTTCCCTTCTGTGGCTTTATAACAAGTATCTGGGTCATTCTAGCTTTTGAAAATGATACACTGAAAACTAGTAGATAATAAGTAAATTACATCTTTGAAAACTGACCAGCATGCAAATCTGCTGCCTTTGTTCTGAAGGATAGACTGTCTATGTTTTTTATTAGTGTATGGGCCAATTCGATATTTCGATATTCGATATATAAAATATGGTTTGGGCATGTGATGCGAAGACCGGCAAACACATTAGTTTATAAGGCATATCACCAGGACTTCCAAAACCCTAGACCCCGGGGAAGACCACCCAAGAGGTGGAAAGATCAGATCCAGAGTGACACAGGGATTACTCTAAGTGTAGCTGAGGCTATCGCTCTTGACAGAACTGGTTGGAGGAACCTGACGGAGGGTAGCAAGGGGCCAGTACCTGGCCTGGGCACTTAGGCAGGCAGGATATTTAAACTTCTTTTTTTTTTCAACCTTTATTTAACCTTGAAATGTACAGTACATGTGTGTATCAGTACAACTCTTCGGCCTAAGCCGTTTTTCAAGAGGTCAAGGGGAGGTAGGTCAGGGGTCTTTGCAAATTCTTTGGTTCAGTTACAATCAATAGAATCAATAGAATCAATTACAATATAAATATATACAAAGTGTACAAAATTCAAACACTCTCTCGGTATCTCAGTATCAAACATCCAAGTTCACATATTTAGTCGTTCTAAGTTGCTTGACGCAGCCGGTTTTTAAAAGCTGCAACTGACGAAGCCGTTCTTAACTCAGTTGATAAGTTATTCCACAGTACTGATCCTGAGTAGGAAATCGATCTTCTGTATACTTCACGACGAACCCTTGGCACATACAAAAGGTCAGATACACTTTGCCGCGTGGTTCTTACTGCCCTATCACTACAGTATGTAAACAGTTCTCTCATGTAGGCTGGCAAACAGTTGTTAAGCCTTTTGAAAGTTAGCAGGGATTTCTAGTCTCTGTGTATGGACTTGATGTCCTTCCAGCCCAGTCGAGTCCGTACTTCAGCCGACGGCGTTCTGTGCGGGGCTCCTAGCA